ATGTTCTGTAAAAGGATACACAACTAACTTGAGTGCTACGAGAGGTACTCTACTTCTTCTTCTTCTTCTGCCTTTCTATCCCCCAATGGAGCATAGGCCCTCAACCAACTCACGCCAAGTCGTTCTATCCTTCGCCATTACATGGAGCTCTCCCCATGTCCTTCCAATCTTTCTAACCTCATTCTCCAGCTCTCTTCTCCATGTGTTTTTTGGCCTTCCTTTATTCCTATGTCCATGTGGGTTCCAATGCAAAGACATTCTAGTTATGCTGTTCTCCTGTTTTCTCAGTGTGTGCCCTATGCAACGCCAGCGTCTTCTCCTCACCTCCTGATCCACTGGAGCCTGTTTGGTTCTCTCCCAAAGTTCTACATTAGTTATACTATCATACCATTTTATTCCTTCTATTCTGTGCAGGCACCAGTTAATGAATGTCTGTAATTTATTAGTAATTGCCTTGGTTGTTCTCCATGTTTCCGCCCCATACATAATTTGTGCTGGGGGAAAAAAATTGCAAGCATTTTTGTTTTTTTTCAGTTGTTATCACTACAAAAATGAGAACTTCTCAGAACACTAATGGTGAATGAAATATTATAACCGTATCTGAGTACTACGAGATGCACTTCATTAGCAGTAGATTATAAATTAAAAAAAAAAAAAATGCAACTAATAATTCACATATTTTTTAAGTTATCACTAACTAACTACAAAATGAGAATTACTTCTCAGAACACTAATGGTGCTTTGTAAAATATTAAAGTAGTACTTGATAAATAAATTCCCCAAGTTATCGCTGTATCAAGAGAATTAAATTTCCGAACACTTATGGTGATTTGTAAAATACCCATTAAACTTGTAGAGCAAAATGCACTCTGCCTGTACTAGATGTGCTCCAGCTACAGTGTTAGGGAAGTACTTAATGTACTTTGCTTTAACAATATCATTATTTTATAATTAGAAATACTCTAGCAACAGTAGTGAAGTATTACTATATGTATTCTGGATTTTATAACAGTACACAATTAATACTATACATGTACCCTAACAATAGTACATTAAAAGTGCCAGGCATGCCTTAAAATAATTACTCTCCACATGTATCCTGGTGATACTAGTTGTACAACAGCAGTAAAATTACTAGATAAAAAAGTACCCATTCTGGTACTTATTCGATATACACTAGCAACAATACCTTAAATGTGTGTCCTTTTTTTTTCAAGCTTCCAGAAACCATGAGTTGTTAACCCTTTGGCTCGGTACTATGGATATCGCAACCCTTCGGCCTTGATTCCATGATAGATACCATAAATCTAGGAGAAATGTGGCTTTTCTGCCTACCCTTGGTGTGAACCCAGACTACAAGGAATTCGTCCCCTGGTTGCTGCAAAGTCAGGTTTAACCAACTACGCTAACGAGCGGGGCATATGTGTGTACTAAATGTACTCTTGCAATAGTAACATAGCAGTACACCCTAACACTCTAACAACAGTACTCAAAGAGTTTTATCGGACACACTCTAAGCAGCAGTACTAAAACAGGTCTATCAGAGGTATTCTAATATTACCAAAGTATTATCCTAAAAGAAGTTTCTCAGTCCACAGCAGAAGAAATCTAAAACAATATTCTAGTTGTGCGACATTTATTCTAAAAACAGTTTATTCAAAGAACTAACTGCGTCTTAGCAACCACAAGTACAAAATAAGTACTAGAGGAACTCTAGCAACAGTACCCACTAGTACTAGAAGTACTCTCTTTCAGTCCCAAGGAATGCATCATATGTTCATAAGTTCCTATCTAGAAGCTTAATGAACGCAAGATGTGCATTTTTGCATCTCGCTTACCGCCTGTTGGGCCTCTGATGCCAAACCCCATGGGACTGAAAGAGTTGAAACCAGTCCGGTGTTCTAGTTCTACTACATGCATTCTGACAACAGTACATTAGATGAACTAGATGTGCCTTAGCAAACACAAGTATAAAAATAGTGCTTAGGGTACTCTAGCAACAGTATCCCAACAGTAGAGGTGTACTCAAACTTAGTAACGACGTGTTGTTCATTCTAACTTAGCTATTAGCTATATAAAGTATAGCCTGCATGTATCTGAAAGTGTTGAAATGATAAAAGATAGAAAAAAATGAGTTAGGTAAAAGAAAAAGCAAAAACAAAATAGAATAGAATGCATTAAGTAATAATGGCTACGTGAATAACAAGGAGCTGACGGAAAAACAAAACAAGGAGTTCGAAAAAAAAAAAAATTTCCAGAGAAACAAAAGGGAAGAAAGAAAAAGTCACACAACTGAGTTAAAAAAAAAAATATATATATATATATAACTAGAATGTCTTCATACTGGACCCACAGGGGCATAAAAATAAAGGCAGACACATACAGAAAGGAGTCAGAGAGGGAAATTAACAAGATGGGGGTCACCTACACGCAACAGCAAAGGATAGAATGGCTAAAGTGAGTTGGCCGTCGGCCTATGCTCTATTGTGTGGCAAAGAGCAGAATAATAATAATAATAATAAGAAGAAGAAGAAAAAGAAAAAGAAGAAGAGAAGAAAAGCTCAGGAGTAAAAATCAATTACACAGTGATTTGCTTGGTTTAAAAAGAGTTAGCAACTCTATTTTGTAGTAATTAATGTGTTGCTAGAATACTATTGTTAGGTTACTGCTAAATGTACTGTAGTAACACTACAATGGCAGTATTTAAGGTACTCTAGCACCAGTACTATAATACAAATATGTATAGCAACAGTGCATGTATAGCAACAGTACATGTATAGCAACAGTACACTAGCAACTGTTCTCTGACAACTTTTCTCTAGCGTACTATTAGATAATGCCAACAAAAGTACTCTTGATGCACTACTTTTGGCTTCAGCAAACATTTATACCAACAAAAGTACGTTAGAAGTACTATTTAGCATCAACAAATATACTTTAGTAGTATTGCTAGATGGAGAGCTGTGGTATCCTAGTGGTTAAAGTCTCACTTGCCAGCCTGAAAGTCTTGGGTACAAACCCACAAAGTGTCAACATCTTTTTCTTCAAAATTGACCTTGGTTCTCAGGTCAACCCAGCTGGCATGACATTGACCACACCACCCAGTGAGTGTCAAATGGTCAATAAAAACATGAGTTAGGCCACTGGTGAGAATGGGGTCTTTATAATTTACAGTACTACTAGAGGACATCGTCAAAAGTATGCTAGCAGTAGTACTAGTTGCCTCCCAAAACAACTCAAATACTCTGACAATACTAATAGATGACTCTAATGAAAGTACTGTAGTGGCATAATATACATCAGCAAAATTAGCCTAGTACTACTACTAGACAGCAACAAAAGTACTGCAGAAGTACTATTATTTGACCCCAACAAAAAATCCTATGATGCTACTGTGTTTCCTCGAAAATAAAACTGGATTTAAAACTCTTACCTTTATTCATATACACAATTCTATATTTATTATAATACAAGTTATGTCATCATTTTCTGGAACAGAGTTATAACTCTTTAAATCCTAAATAAAATACCTTAAATTATGAACCAAATCTGCTCATTATCAAGTGGGCACCAATAGTGAGACTGAGACTGGGCATTGAGCAACAGGTCTCTTAGTCTAGGTTAGATCACTGCGAAGGCTTTTTCTGTGTGGCTATTCTCCGAATAACGGTCGGTAAAGATGGCGGCCGCAAAATATCCTTTCGAGCCACAGTCACGTGTCAATTGCGCACTTCCGGCGACTTAATTTGCGGTTCTCCGGCGACTACCGCCACCGCAGGGTGTCCCCTACCCCGCTCATGCGGCGTGAAATGGGGCTAAACTAGATGGCTAGGACCCATGCATCTCTTGAAGCTTTGCTCGTGAGTCCTAGCCATCTAGTTTAGCCCCATTCCACGCCGCGTGAGTGGCGTATGGGACACGTGGCGGTAGTCGCAGGAAAACCGCCGGAGAACCGCAAATTAAGTCACGTGACTGTGGCTCGAAAGGATATTTTGCGGCCTCCATCTTTACCGACCGTTATTTGGAGGATAGCCCTTTTATTGTTTGTTTGGTAGAGCTTGTATTAAAACGTTAGTTGTATATCCTTTACAGGATGTTGCATAATCAACAACAGCGTTCAGTAGTTTGTCTTTGTACTAAAAGGTCGGTTCCTGATACCACTGTCAAAACCAACGCAAGACAAATTATCTGCAGCTGGGATCAAACCCGGCAACAACTAAGCCACAGATTATTATTATTATTATTATTGTTATTATTAAAAGTAGACTGAAAAATTGTGCCAGAGCTTGGGGAAAAAAGGGGGAGGGGGAGTGTTAAGTTTATTTTTGGGGAAACACAGTAGATGCCTTTAACAGTGGTACTCAACAAGATTCATGTAACAAAAGTAATGTGGCAGGATTAGAAGTAATCAGTAACAGTCATTATAGCAATTTCTACACTGCTCTTACCACTATCTAATCCACACTGCCTATTTTACAGTACTGAATATACAAATCCCAGATTCATTTAAAAGTACACAAAAGGCAGGGAGCTTCATACGCCTGTACATAAACTGTAGATTTAACTGCTGTACAGTACAGCTCAACAGGCAAATTATTAATATGATACACAATCAATGCACAGTTTCATATATTAGATTCAACATATATAGTTCAACAACTTTGTACTTATAACACACTTGTCCGAGTTTTTAAGTTTACCACTATTGGTAAACGTTCTCCCTTCAGTGAAGACACCGGTCATTCTATGCAAAATTAGCCAACTGGAGGAAACTATCACGAAGATATCCTTCTGGCTAAGTGGTCCAGATTTTAAATTCAACACATGAATTTGTTTACAACTGGAAGCAGTACACTGTATTCGATAGCGCTGATCAACAAAATATTGTTTTTCCACAACTCATAAAGCAACCATCCATCACAGATTTGGGCGAATCTAGTAGGTGTGTCAAAATGACAAAGGCTTTTGTATCTGCATTAAACAGACTTCTGATCAGCTTGTCACTCATCGTCTTTATCTTTCTGTGGTTTGATATCACAGGCTTCGAACAGCTCTTCTGGGGTGTATCCTAGGAGATTCTGAAGGTCACAGACAAAGCGATACACATACCTCTTGCCTGCTGTTTTGTGGATGATATTCTTATCGTAGTAGTATCTGGAAAAAGAAATGGAATATTTGTATTGGTAAAAATGAAATTCATCCTCAAATTAAATAATATTAAAATTTTTTGTCCGATTGAAACAAACGTTAGCTTTATCTTCATTTAAAAACAAAAATGAATTTTATAATCAGTTATTTTAAAAATTATTTTATTTTCAAATTAAAAAAAAAAAACTTAATTTTATTTCCCGATTTAAAAAAAAATGTTTTACTCCACATAATTTTAAAAACAAATTATGATAACACCCAACTGTATCCTGCAACTGAAATAACGTGAAATATTATCCTCACATTATAACAACACCCTTCAATTTTATCTTTAAATTGTGTGGTCTCATCAAGTGCCTGATCACCAACTGAATCTCACAGTTCTATAGCGCAAGAGTGGAAGAGATTATGATAAATTACCTTTTTCAGTACCAGACAGGCATATCTTTAATTTTTTTTTTGGCAGTAATGTGTTACTTCGACTAATAAATGGTGTGTCTGGATGAGCTGAAATACTGGTACTAGGGGATTTCAATTAATTTAAAGAAAAAAAAAGAGCATGTTACAAGTTTCTTCTGTCTTGAACAGGTGACTGCAAATATTAATAGATTAAAGGAATGGCTAAAAATATCTTCAACAAGATGCAATGATTTCTGACAGCTACAGTGAAAAATAACACAAACATGTGAGTATTCAATGTTATGTATACTCAACCCTGATGTCTGGTACAGAAATCTGGATAATCAATCTGAGTCCTTGGAGATGTGAACATACAGAAGAATCGGTTGTATTTAATGGAAAGAAAAACAATTAACTAAAGTTTCTGAAAAGATTGGGCAAGAAAATAAACTGTAAACGAAAAAAAAGAAAAAGACAATTTTTATATTTTGGCCACATTAAAAGATAAAACAAAGGTCAAAGGCAAGAAAGCAAGATGTCGACAATAATACAAGTTGAAAGACAGGATCAAGAGATGGACAAACAGCAGTCTGACATAGTGAAAGACAAGAGATAGAATGTGTTGGAGATCCATTATGGCCATCCTTTATTGTGGAGATGGCACCTGATTGATTGATGATTAGTACTATGATGCACGGAGTTCATATAAAGATGGCAACAGAATGGGTTAGTGTAACAATAGTTATAAAGTGGGTTAGTGTAACTGTTGCATCAGAGTGGGTTAGCGTAACAACTGTGTCAGAGTGGGTTAGTGTAACAACTGTGTCAGAGTGGGTTAGTGTAACAACTGTGTCAGAGTGGGTTAGTGTAACAACTGTGTCAGAGTGGGTTAGTGTAACAATTGCATCAAAGTGAGTTACTGTAAACACTGCAACAATGTGGGTTAGTATAACTACTGTGTCAGAGTGGGTTAGTATAACAACTGTGTCAGAGTGGGTTAGTGTAACACACGTGACAGTGTGGGATAATGTAATTATTACATCAAAATAAGTAGTGTAACAAGTGCAGCGGAGTGGGTTAGTTAGTGTAGACGGAGTGGGTTAGTGTAGACAGAGTGGGTTAGTGTAGACAGAGTGGGTTCGTGTACCAAGCTGTTGGGGAACAAAGAGCTGAGAAAATTAAATAATGTAAGCAGATATTAACAAAGAACGCAGTACGCTGTGTGTTATCAAAAGTGTTAAACTAAACTACATTACAAACCTCAGACCACGGCTAAGTTTTTCATAATTCATCTTTGGTTTGTTTTTCCGGACACCCCATCTCCTGGCCACTTCATCAGGGTCAGAAAGTTTGAATTCCCAGCCGTCTCCCGTCCAGCTTATGAAGTGTTGGCAGGTCTTGTCTGTCAGCTGCTCCAATAGGAACTGCCATAGCTGAATTGGGCCACTACCTGTCAAGCATGTAAATTGCAAAACGGGTTAGTGATAATATATATGGCTTTCTTCAACAAATCGATCATGTTATTTTGGTTTTTCTTGATAGCTGATTGAAGAAAAAAACTGGATAAATGAAAGAACGGAAAGTGGTGGCATATACTCAAGGCCCTGTCCAGAATAAAGAAAATATCGTCATCACATTGTTTCTCTTTGAGTCCCAGAGGGTAGTAAATAGTTATAAAATCGGTGTATCATGCGTTCATTAGGCGTCTAGGTATGAATCTATGAACGTATGATGCGCTCCTTAGGACTCAAAGAGTTTAACCTGGATAAATAAAAGAATGGGACAAGTAGGTTTTTGACATAGGACATCAATTGGTTGGCACCTTTCTCTCTTACTAGAGGATGGTGTTCAAAGTGTGATAAATAGAGGAATGAGAATCACAGCTCGTGTTTACGGCGAATTTGTGGCCATCAAGATTTGCTCGCGGTAAGAACAGTCTTCCATATTTGGCGCACTGGGATTTCAGGACCATTGCTGCCATCACAATTATGTAACATGCTTCTTCTCGAACGCCTAACTTTCAATCTATCTCCAATCTATTTTCTTCTATATCCATATTCCCTTCCATATTCCCTTCCTGATTCCCCGCCCTCGTATTTTTTCTTCCAGTAACATGGCCCATGGCATTCTGTTCCCACGAATCCACCCAAATATCTGTACCATTCATAGTCGTGTTTGAGCACATCTTTTTTTAAATCCTAGCAGAAGCCGACCTTGACATCTACTACCAAGCTCTAATTCAACATAGAGGATGTCCTTAGAGACTCTACCGTAGGAGTAACTTAGCCACCTGAGCCTTCCAATACTGAGAACTGAGAAAACTGCTGCGATTCCACGCCACGAAAGCTATTTATTTAGCTCTTTCTCCTTGTACAAACCTGACCAAAGGAAAACAGCGGCTGTAGAAAAATCATCAACTAGGTGTAACAACGAAACTACCCCAAAAACAGATGAATACGGGTATTCAGGTAGGGCTCAGCATAGGAAACTGTAAAGGATGGGCGAGGGGCATTGCACAGTGAGTGGAGCATTTGTGCTCTATAAGAGCGCTGTATTCCTCCTACAGGAGAACAGTACTAAAAGAAGTAGTATCTATATTACTCTGTGAAAGAAGCTGTGATTCAGAAGCTATGCTGACAGATGCTAGCGGAATACTACAAGCAGTACAAAGCCACGTGCAACTAACTTTCAATAAGCTACGACATCTGCTGAATCCGATGGGTCAGCTGATCAAGCGTACTGTTCTTCAATGGAACCCAGGCCCACATTACCGGAAATGAAATAACAGATTAGTAAAAAGAAAGAAAGAAAAAGTAGGAGGCATATAGAACAGCCAGATGCGGAATGTACTTATAAGGAAACGAAATTTAGATCAAGGTGGCCAGTAGAATACTTCCCCTCCAAAACACAATGCTAAAACAAGACCCAGTCCACATCCTCATATGGAAGCAATAAACCATCTTGATTAGAGTAAGAAATGACACAGCAAGCTCTGCAGGCATATATACTAGAAGATAACGATTTAGGACTCACAAGAAGAAGAAGTAGAAACAGAAGGAGGAGAAGAAGAAGAATAAGAAGAAGGAATAAAATAAAAGAAGAAGAAGAAGAAGAAGAAGAAGAAGAAGAAGAAGAAGAAGAAGAAGAAGGAGGAGGAGGAGGAGGAGGAGGAGGGGGAGGAGGAGGACCATCAATCCAAACCTTCTTAGTTATTCAACACGTGACTAAGTATCTAAACTCCATGGTATAGTTCAACACTTGCCAAGGCGTCTAAACTAAATGATTTCAACATTTAGCATTTGACCAAACGTCCCAACTAATTTACAAACACCGACTGTCTGTATGTATGCCATGCTAGACTGTATACAAACTACCCTGGCATAGGTAAAAGATCTAATCTTTGTCTGTGACCTATGACCTAGAGTTCAAGGCCAGGACCCGCCTGCAGCTGCTGTATATCGGCTGCCTGTGTCTATGTTGCCATCTGTTCTGTAGCAAAATTAAATGCACTGACATCGACTACTGCAACACGCAGTTTATCAAGTGTATTTGGGGGTGTCAGCGAGGCATGTTTTATAACAAGCTAAAGCGACTCTTAACTCTTTCGATGCTAGATCATTTTCAGTTCTACACTTTCTGTCTCAAAGTTTCTGTACTTTAGATGTTCAGTAAAACTTTGATTTATCGTCACCGTCCTTATCAGGGCTGTGTCTGATAACCGAATAGTCGGACAACATAAATTTCTTAATACATATGTACAGTAACGTAATTTCACTTCTGGTTTAGGACGAAAATTAAAATAAAATCCTTTAAATGTTAATAATAGTGTATTAAATTTTACAAAATGGTCAATATAAACGACTATATAATAGTATTGTTGTACACGAATGTGATACTTTAAACCTACGTTACTTTAAAATACCTGTCTGTTTGCTGATATACATTTTTTTAAAGCAACGACGGATAACGGAAACTGTCGGTTAAACGAGTGACGTTTAATTTACTGTATAGTAATATTTGAGTTTTAGTGACTTGAAAAATAAGGTAACCAATAAGCGGAACAAACTACAGTAATAAATGAGGCTTAATATATTTGTATAATCGAAAAATGGAACAGTAGAAGTTTATGAAAGACTGCGTTTAGTTAGTTGCGTATTTTGTTTTACAAGATGTTGCAGAACCAACAATATTGTTTGTTGTTGTTTTTTCGTTACTGATTGCGATTTCACTAAGCATGCATACGTTCAGAACTGTGTATCGCTTCCTAAACGAAGCCAGTGTCGAAACAACGCCAAGCGATCTCCTGCCACATCGGCCGCAACAAGATTCGAATCAGGTGTCTCGGAATTACAAGCTGCAATCGCAACGCCTAACCAACATATGCCGACATAGAGGGTATCTTATTCTTCCCGTTCACCAGCTGTAAACTCTGACGGAAAGTTCTGGTTGTTCGTCCACTTCTGGACTGCAGTCCTGTTCCAAAATCTGAGTGCAGCGTGTGCATCCGTTTGACACATCTGACTTATATGTACGCAGACTCTTGGTTCCTTTCCTCTCATGCAGATGCACTCCAACTTCGAAGGAAGCTCCCAATTAGTCGACTCTTACGACATGCTTTTGGGTAGGCAGTGGGTCTATTCTTGCTTTCCCTATAATAGGGCCACGGAACATACACGGGGTAGAGGGTATCTATAAACATATAGTGAATTAATCAAGTAACAGAAAGTGTATTGATCGGCACTCATAGAAAGAAGTAGAATCGCGGGGTCAACACGGTGACGAGGTCAAGCTGTTTGTTCAGCTGTCGTTCGGCTGTGTGAACAAACACTTTGCAGACAGGCTCAAACTAGGTCATATCTCAGAGTAATAACAGACAGGCTCAAACTAGGTCATATTTCAGAGTAATAACAGAGGCTCAAACTAGGTCATTTCTCAGAGTAATAACAGAGGCTCAAACTAGGTCATTTTTCTGAGTTACAGCAGACAGGCTCAAACTAGGTCATTTCTCTGAGTTACAGCAGACAGGCTCAAACTAGGTCATTTCTCTGAGTTACAGCAGACAGGCTCAAACTAGGTCATTTCTCTGAGTTACAGCAGACAGGCTCAAAACTAGGTCATTTCTCTGAGTTACAGCAGACAGGCTCAAACTAGGTCATTTCTCTGAGTTACAGCAGACAGGCTCAAACTAGGTCATTTCTCTGAGTTACAGCAGACAGGCTCAAACTAGGTCATTTCTCTGAGTTACAGCAGACAGGCTCAAACTAGGTCATTTCTCTGAGTTACAGCAGACAGGCTCAAACTAGGTAATTTTTTTAGACAGAATGATCTTCTTTATGAAACCCTTCCTACATGTGAGGGTCATCTGGCTACTGCTAAGGACCTCAGACTGATCAGAAAGAAGTCTTGTATGGCACAAGCAGACGTCACAATCAGAGATGTGTTTATGCTGTAAACATTTAAAGAGTGGGTCAAAGTGCCAGATCTAAAGACAGACTTATGTAGGGTTTTAATCACAGTTGGTCAGGAGTGCGAGGATTGGACAACAGGCACTGCAGAATCCGAAATTCGACAATTCAAACATGATAATTCCCGCCAGCTAGGGTGACCCCATGTCCTGCTTTCATCGGGGCAGTCCCGTTTTCTTTCGGTGTCCAGTCGGTATTCCATGAAAACTTCAACCGTCTCGTTTTTTTTCGGTGTCCCATCGGTATTCCATAAAAACTTCAACTGTCCCGTTTTATAAAAAAAAAAAAAAAAAAGCTACAGAATAGAACATTCACTTATAGTTATAAGGGTAAACATCAGATTTCATAGTCTTAGATACTTGTAATGCATGCCTTGATGGCTAATGGGTCAAGAATGAAGATGTGCTATCTATATAGGATGACACAGAAGAGATGGTACTGGCGCTCTGGAAGAAGCAGATTCCTTTGGGAGCAAAACTCCTGTGCATTAGGGTAACCTCGGCCTCAACTCTTGGGCATGCATTTTTTAGGGTCTGTGGAAAGGAGGGGTGGGGAAAGGTGGGGGGGGGGGGGGGGGGGAAATGGAACTAATAAGAACCTAAACTCTTGTGACCTGTGAAGGTTGAAAAAAATGATAGGGGAAAAAAGGGAGAATGGGGGGGGGGGGGGGAGGGAGGGGTGGGGGGGTGGGGGGGGGGGGGGATGGAAGGAGGGGGGATAAACTAACTTACTTCGGATGTCTCATTTTCAGCTCAAAATATTAGTTGGACGTCCGGTTTTCAGCTTAACATATTTTGGGCACCCTACGCCCAAGTGATGTGACTATCTATACAGATAGCCTGGAATTAACAGACAGAATAAGTGTGGAGTTAGGAGGACAAGGAGGGGGGGGGGTGTTCAATGTAAAAGCAAATGGACGACGCTTAGTGCAACAAAATCTAGCGTATGATGAATCATCTAATTAGGAATGGAGGTGGAGGCAGTC